TTTTCGGGGCTTTATTAGGGGGGAGGGGGGGGTCATTGAACCTTTTCCCTACCTTGAGCATGTCTCGAGTTTATTCCGTCAGCCTGGTCTGCCTGGATTCGAAGCCTCCACTACGGTAAGACGAATTCGCATACTAAAGTTATGGTAATTATTACTGTAGTAAAACCAATTTTCATGATGTTATACTTACCATAACTTTATGGAGTCCCGCCCTGTATTCCTCCCCTTGCCTCCTCATCCCGGCTGCCTTTAGGCTCCATAAAAGGGGTTTGAGGAAGGAAGATCACTCCGTGGCTCTGTCGTCGAGATATGGGTTACGTCACGGCAGGGAGGTAGGGATATTTGAATCTTTTGTTTTTGGGTTACAAAGATGGGTGTAGGTATTGTATATGCATATTAAAGTTATGGTAAGTATTACATCATGACAATTGGTTTTACTTCAAAAACCTCAAATTAAAGGGTTATCATTCACACTGTAACTACACATACACAGTTAATAGCAGTCCTTGGTCAGTATGTTAAATGTTTTTGTTGATGATTGAAATGCATTTTAAACATTTACGATTGTATGCCCATAATTCTGTTCAACCATACCTCTTGGAGTAAAGTATCATGATAAGATGTCTGAATTTAACTTTTTTTGCATACCATTACACATCCAATTGTTAAAACTATGCATGTCAACCTTTATATTGTTATATCAGATACATTCGTAGGGCCTAAATGTCGTGGTTTCCTGACAAAGCACCATTTTTTGGGTACAGAAATTAGTCGATTACGAATACCCACTTAAATTGAGTATTGCTTGATCAAACTTCATGGACCTATGAATCCGTGGATGAAGATTATCAACAACAAAAAATAAGAATTTAAAAACCCCACGAAAATTATTGATTTCACAACATTCATTTTCAAAACACAAAGAATATCATTTTTTTGATATTTCTGTGTGTTTTCATAAGCTCGAACTTTCACATTTCCCTTGTTTTTTTGCATTAAGATTTACTTTATAACATACTTACAGTGCATGTTATACGGTATTGTTTCATTACGTTTTGATACACTTTATAACCAAATTCCAATGAATTGAAAGTTTATCAGGTTGCAGTTTATAATATATCCCTCAACCTATTCATGTGTCAGTAAATTCGTCGGCTACTTAAAATATATCGTGGGACCAATATTCATTGTATGTTCAGATCCTTTGTTTTGTGTGCTCCAGAGTGTTTTGGACCAGAAAAAACGTGTGGACACACCAGACAAAAGTACCAAAGTTCGTTAACCTGCTAGACATTAACAAATCATAAGAAACGCTCTTATGCACATGTGGTGATTATCTTAGATTTGAACGCTTTCTGTTTTCTTATATGTTAGGTTCCATCCGAATCAGGTGATTTTTTTCTGTTGATGCCTCAACAAACAGTTTCTGGGACAAAGAATAAAACAACTCTACTTTGTACAATATGGTTTGTGGCAACATCAGTGCATTGTAATGACCTGTGCTTCCACAAACCGTAACAGCAATTGAGCGACCACTTGATACTGGCGATGGACATACCTTTCAAGATGACATTTTGGTTGTTAAATTTGTGTTTTTTACCAGATTTCTTATTCTTCTCGCCCTGGGTAAAATCTTAAATTCCAGGAAACACTAGCATTGATTGCATGGTTTTCAGCAAATCCTATGCGTAATCTTACGTGATCTGATATTGTTGACGTGACGCAATGCTTTTGTTCTGGCAGGGAAATCCCCTTGTTTTTTACCTAGTGTCAGACAGGAACATCGTTCTCGATCTTGTAGTTTGGAGCTCTCTGTCTAAAGGGGTGAATTACCTGTTTCGCCCCGGGGCTAAGATTAGGGAAAGGATGAAAGAAAATGCAAAACACATCCTATAGGATAAGATGGTGGATCCTGGAGATAGATAATCAAGTTGCCAAACACTAGGCAAACGTCGTATTTGACAACTCTCTTTTGGGTGTAGTCTGACACGTAAAAGGCTGTAAGGTTATAGTTATCTCACATAGATAGGTCATTGCTCGTATTAATAATGGCTTTTAGTTGTTGCCTTACATTTTAAGCATTTAGTCTGGAGCTGAAATCCGCGCAAGGAAGCATGAAGTTTCCTTTAATGCCATTCCAAATAACATTGTACTATACAGTGTATGTTGAGCTCGGAAAGATAAAAGCGACTCACTGTGGTATAGATATAGCTAGTAACTCTCAATGCAACGCGAGGGAAACTGTCGCCAAATATCCTGTCGTTAATACGCTTTAAAAGCGTATTAACGACAGGATATTTGGCGACAGTTTCTTCTCCTGTTTAGCTTTACATAGACATTTCAGACCTCAGTTTGATGCTATACATTTAAAATCTCTAAATTGCATCATTGGTATAAGTAAAATGTAGTTTTTAAAATATAAAAGGTCCTTAATTCGATTCCAAAATTTGTATTTCCTTATTTCCATTTTTTTTTAAATCTAATTTTTGAATACCCATAATTCTGTGAAATGCATCGCAACACATGCTTTATATGTAATATTATTTCACATTAGTGACAATGGTTATAATATAATTGAGCCTTTTTGGTACCTTTCACAGGATTGGGATACATGATGGTTGTTATTTCTGCGATCGTCACGTGGTACGTTGGAGTGGTGCTTGCCTGGGTGTTGTACTACCTGGGATATTCCTTTGCCACGACTCTGCCCTGGGCCTCGTGTGATAACGAGTGGAACACAGACAGATGTGTGGTGTTTCGGACGGCTAGCGATGTGTCATCAAATTTTACCCATAATTCCTCTGTATATAACAGTACAATCGGCAGTACCTCACCAACTAACGTATCTGTAGTTGGAAAAAACCTGACAGGAAGCATCCAAACGGCGGCTACAGAATTCTGGAAGTAAGTTTTGATCTAGAATTTCATTTTATCTATTTCAGTATTACACAAGAGCTTTTCATCCTATCTCGAGAAAATATCTCATTTTCAAAGTCATCTCGTTGCAATTTTCTTAGTTAAATGTATAACATGTTTTACTGAAACATAACAATATCAAAGAATATTGCAGACTGATGATTTTAAAAACGAGACACTTACATGAAATATAATGTAGGCTCTAAAGTTGCCTGCCCTCTCGCCTTTGCTTAACTTTTGGGGATATAGTAAGAATTGGTATTATTAATATACACGTTGACTTACACAACTTTCCAATGTAAATAATAATAATAACAATAATTGGAGGTTCTTATATACCGCTTTATCACAACCTAGTTCGTAGGTCGTCTCAAAGCGGTTCACAAATTACAAGGAGCTGATAACATAGTTGACCGATTTTGTTTTGTTGACTTCCCTGAAAAATGAAAAAGTTTAATTTCGAATTCAGTTTTTAATTTGCAAAGGAAAAAAAATGAGGGAATAATTTAGTATGCAACCGTTTTTAGTAAATAATGTTTAACGCCAAATAAATGCAATTCGGCCTCTGTGAACATTATTCTTACCAGGTCCGAAATTCAGCGATAGACCGAAACTGAAATCCAAAATTGTTTTATTATATGACATTTTACAGTGAGATTAATCTTTTTCCTGTCATAAACACACGGATGGCACGGACCATTTTGGAAGGACTTCAAAAACAAAATAACATACACAATTTCAGATTCAATTCAAGTAATATTTAATTTCAAGTAAATATCATTTGCACAATTGACATCAGCAATAGCATTACGTGGTTCAGAATTTGATATGATAATTCATTTGAAGTTGAATTCGGTAGTGTGCTTTGTCACAGATTTACAGACTGACTGGGGAATCACCTAGGCCTATTTTTAGTAGCGGTCTGTAACACTTATCAATTAATAGGTCGAGGTCTGTAACACTTTTCTGTTCATAGAACGAGGTTTGTAATAGATTTACAGACTCGTCCCATGACGTCGCTCCTCCAATCAGGGCTGGGAATTAGCACCAGTCATATAATAAGGTCATATAAGCAGATATGTCGAGTAAACAGTAGTGTGCTAAGATGTATATATTATTTCATTTTTGAACGATAGAAAGCGCGATGTCCAAAGTGTTCAAACAGTGCTGTTGTTTCCATCCAGAACAGCAATCCATCGGAAAAAAACTAGTCCCAGGATAATGATTTTACATAGTTTTAGACTGTATAATATGCTACTTTGGTAGCGCTAACATTTCGTTCAACACATATGCAATGATGGGCCATTAAACGTTTTCAGAAAAAAACAAATGTCCCTGTCCTGCATAACATATCTTATTTTTGTTTCTAACCAATAGCCACATATTGTTATACTCATCATCACCGAATCACTTTATCGAGTAAAAAATGTATTCGAAAAATATTAACAATTGTTTATTTATATCATCATTTGTTCATGTAACGGTTGAGTTGTTATTAAACTTGTGTAGTTATGCAGTACAGTAACTGATACTTATTTTAACAGGTACAAGGTCCTGAATATTTCCAGTGGGATAGATGATCCGGGAACAATACAGTGGCACACGGTTCTCATGTTAATCCTTGCATACGCACTTTCATTTGTGTGCATCGTAAGGGGCGTCAAATCGGTCGGGAAGGTAATGGTATTTTACTTCATATACATTATGAGAAGTTCTTTTCACACAACCAATAAGATTTTCCATGTGACGTTTCGATGACTAGGACGATATGTACACGGTCACCTTCATTAGACAAATAACCAGTGAAGCGTATGCACACAAAGGTGTAAACTGTGTACGAGTTGTTCACAAAATCTTTTGGTTACGCTATAAGCGTATGAACAAAAGTTGTTATTTATGTACAGAAATGACTCGATTAAGCTACGCTTTGTTTAATACTTGGTCATAGATGTGCGAGAGTCTTTGAGCCCATCTGCCGTTTGAACAGATTGCTCTCTCTGTCCAAAACTTTGGAGTTGTCCCAGTCAATCACATTTTTCTGTGTGGCATGGTCTGTGATTGCCGATATATTTATTTTGGACTCCGACTGCTTCATTTCTGATCTTGTGAATTTACTACCTTCTTGGGTTTCTGTATCTTTCCGATGTTCCCCAAGGTGCATCTCAAATCGCCTTCCAGTCTCTCCAATATACTAAGCGTCGCAGTTTTTACATTCGATTTTGTATACGCATTCTGCGACGTTTTCTTTAGGTGTGTTATCCTTAGGGTGTAATAGGATATTGCGGAGCGTTTTGTGGGGCTTCATGGCTGTTGCTATGCCAAGTCCGCGATATATTCAAACAAAGCGTAGCTGAATCGAGTCATTTCGGTACATATATAACAACTATTGTACATACGCTCACAGCTAGCCGAAATCGACATCGATTTTGTGGACAACTCGTACACATTTTACACCTTTGTGTGCATACGCTTCACTGGTCATTCGTCTGATGAAGGTACATATCGTACTAGTAATCGAAACGTCACATGGAAAATCTTATTGGTTGTGTAAAAAGAACTTCTCATAATCCATACTTACCAACCTGAAGAAAATATTTAGAAATATTCATACCGTATACATTTCCTGAAAGGAGGAGAAACATCGCCTTAAATGTGGTAATGTCCTCTGACAGTGACTTATTGAAAACATCTGCTTAGTGACACTTACTCATGATGCAATCGCGAAGCGTAGGTAGTTCGTGCAGTTGTTTATTTGAGAACAGACCATAAATTATATTGCAGGTTTTCCCCCATAAACTGTCTCACAGGGAGGTTCTATTTATAGTTTCAGTCGCTCACGTCCCCTGCAACCTCGAAACATGCCATAACAAAATCGCATGTTGTTAATTATTTGATTGATTTCAGGAGGAAACACTGACCAATTCCTAGGCATAGAAATGCCTTTATAGCTCACAAGGAGCGACAACAGACTTCAATGACGGTCAATTTTACCATTACGCCGCTGCATGATTCTTTTGGTTAACACTAAACTACTTGTTTCTGTATCGTCCAAATGATTGCACTATATAGCATTCGATTAAGTCATGAAATATTTCAGGGGTGATAAAAATGTAAGTCAGTTCAACCCCTGATTTTGCACAGCAGCTTTCCTACCCAAAATGAGACGTCTACTGACACATTCCGACTCAACATTGTTCCCATTGATACCAAACATTCTGGATCCGTCTGCGTGAAGCCAGCTTGAGATCGGGTCCTCTGTACGTATAGCTCCTCTGATACATTGACGTTCTGCCGAACTCATGCAGTTGCAAAATGTACACTCCCAGACATTAAGCCATGAGACGCTGGACAGTTACAAGGTTTATTGTCAAAAACCATCTGCCTTTCACGAGGCGATAATCTCCAATGAATCTGTCGCCACTGTGGTTAACACTGCACCTACACCAGGTGGTACATATATGTATATAATGAGAAGTTGTGCGCGCAGATGGCCTTGTTACTGGATATACGAAATAGTAAATTAATAATAAATTTGTCTGAAACGTGCTTATCATATTTATTGTTGGTTTAACCTTTTTTTAACATACCTCATAGGCTATACAGTTTTCCTTCTTTTGTGAAAACCATTATTCCTCCACGATGCGTATCCAATAGTTCTCGAGTTACGCAAATATAAAACTAATAAGAGATATATAAATGTGCGCTATATCAGTCACAGACAGGTCGTTGTTTTTCGTGTGAACAAAGATACATCACTTACAAGACTGTAATTTATTCTTTTTATAAAAAAAGGTTAATAAACATGTTCACAGCGTCGCCATTGCTATCAACTAACAGTCCCTTATAAAGGAACATCAGCACTGATTGTCTAGATGTGGACGAAAACATTTCACTTTTTACACCCTTATTGAATATGGCAAAAGTTTGGATTCTCGGGACAGGAAACTATTTCACAGAGTAGCTGTTACTTAACCGAATATTGAATGCCAATGGTCACAGAGATATGCGGAACATATTACGTCAAATCTAGGATACATTTATGTATATTGCGGTCATTTTGTGTCGAAACTATCGTAAATTCTTTATTGATGTTAAATGTTTACCTATTTATGAACCTTGTGTGTTGACGCTGTAATTTATCTTAACCTCAGTTGTTGACGCTACGGTTATTTTTTCGTTGTGTATTGTCGCAGAGGTATATATTGGCGCTTTCTATTGTAGAGATATAGTGTCTTTGTTAGCATTACAATTACTATCAAATAATGAAGCGAAGCTCTCGCTTATTTCAGAAAATCATGAGCTTTGTTCGAGGCAAACTTAAATTCATAAAATGTGTTGCATGTTTTGGATCAATCGGTTTTTTACGTCACCGGTCTGGTTCCTTAATTAACGATTGCGTGTCTCAAGTCTACGACATGATTTTAAAAGCTGAACATTGACAATCACGTGACAGTAATATCGTTTATTTTGACTACATTATAGATTATCCTACCTAAAATATGTACAAGAGATCATGAGCAAACTATGTCTGTTTTTCGGGAATTCTCGATAAAGCACGCCAAGCCCATGGGAACTATCTCCCTTTGGACACGCATTATGTTAAGCTTTGAGTGATTCATATTTTACCTGATAAGTTTTGCGCGCAGTTTCATATTGGAAATTAAACACAATGCAGAATTTTGCAGCTGAAATATGAACCAATGAAAACAACAAGATTTTCTTTTATAGAACGGTGAAATGTTTTGCATACTTTAAGTTAGCAGAGGGTATAATAGTGTTGCGACTATTTGGACAAATCCTATGTTACATGATAAAATAATCTTGTGATAACGTTACTGTGTAGACTGGTGTTATATATCAAACATAAAATGAACCTCAAATACTTGAAAATATCATGACTGTTTTAATCGACAAACTTTTGACAGATTTTGTTTTCACTTCTTACCAAAATAAGACATTGATTGAAAGATATCTCAATACTTTAGTAATACGCTGTGTACCTTTCTGTTTAACAGGTAGTTTACGTGACGGCCACCCTTCCTTACGTTTTGTTGACTGTGATCCTTGTCCGAAGTTTGACACTAGATGGCGCTATCGATGGTATAATCTATTATATTAAACCAGACTTCAGTAGACTGACGCAGTTTCAGGTAATCAATTTTACATGATGTGGTAAATGGATATATTTTCGCGATATATAATGTTAAATGGTATATCAATATTTTAGTACAGTGTACTGTAGGTGTCGTTTGGTATATAAACTTGTTCCTGTCCGGTTTTGTAGGTGTGGTTTGAGGCAGCACTGCAGGTGTTTTACTCCTTGGGACCGGCCTGGGGCGGGGTCCTCACCATGGCTAGCTTCAGCAAGTTCAACAACAAGTGTATGGGGTAAGTATTTAGATGTCCAATTCTGTACTTGCTTGAAGTATTCAAGATTCAAAACTATTTCCAAACACTTTTTAATAAATAAGCAAATCATTAGGTTTTGCATGCGTACAGAACCGTGTAACACACCAATTTAGGGCAATAGATCGATCTTGTTGCCAGAACGACTCCCACACCCATTTGACTTCCTTTGATCGATTGTGGTCCAGGTTTTAAATATAAATCTTGCTCAAGCAGTGATTCTGTGCGAAAGCCAACTTTCTTGTAACTCGATTATATAAAAATAGAAAACAGTATTTTGCTTGTTTTTAATGTCTCAAAATGTTAGACAAAGCTTACTTTTTTCCATTAAGCTATCAGTGAAACGAACAATTGGTCTTCAACACAGAATCTGAGTTTGAACATAAGGACAATTTCGTGTATACGGCCCCTGTCCATGAAGTACACTTGGTGTTTTTATTTCCAGTGAAGTCATTCCGTGTGTGTTAATATTTCCTGGGACGCCATTATGTATGTATTTATATTTCCAGTGACGCCATTCTGTGTATGTTTATATTTCCAGTGGATCATTCTGCATGTATTTATATTTTCAGTGACGCCATTCTGTATGTATTTATTGCTCCAGTGACGCCATTCTGTATGTATTTATATTTTCAGGGACGCCATTCTGTGTATGTTTATATTTCCAGTGGCGCCATTCTGAATGTATTTATATTTCCAGTGACACCATTCTGTGTATGTTTCGATTTCCTGGGTCGCCATTCTTTATGTATTTTTATTTTCCAGTGGCGCCATTCTGTGTGCGTTTATATTTTCAGTGACGACATTCTTTGTGCGTTTATGATTCCAGTGACATCATTCTCATTCTCATGCTAATTTCCATTTATTTGGATAAATCCCTGTTGATAAGGACATATGAAATATTATTTCGAGCGGAGTACAAACAGTGCAAGCAGTATTTCTTAGCATATGGTGGCTGATTCCATCCCCACCCGAGGCCTTGCCGAGCTTCAATATCTGTAGAACATCGCGTATTTCAGTTGAATGTAATCTAATTGAACTAATATTTTTGTCAGTTTTTGGCACAATAATCGGGACATCCGTGTTACTGTCATCTACTCTAGTAATACTACAAAAATAGTTATTTAATAATTCAGCTTTATCTTCATCTCTAGTAACTATGTCATTAGTAATAGGATCGACTAAGGAGGGTATAGGTTGTGAAGTATCAGACGTTTTAATTAACCTTTTAATTAATTTCCAATAGGACTTAGGATCAGAAGATGAGTACCCATCAATAATATCATAAACATTTTCATAAAAAGTAACACGTGCATGCTTTTTCATATTATTTACTTTGTTTCGCTGTGATTTGAATTTATTGATATCTACCAAACGTTTTGTTGACCTCGCTATTTTATGTAATCTATCCCTAATTCTTAAGTTTTTTCTAATCTCAGAGGTCATCCATGGCTTATCATTAGGTTTTATATTTACTTCCTTACTAGGAATACATTCATTGGCAAAAGATAGATGAATGTTCGTAAATCGATCACATGCTAAATTAACTGAGTCACGATTATAAAAAGTTTCTATCCAATTATGATTAGATATAAGTTCATTAAATTTTTCTAAATTTACACTCTTGTACTGCCAAACCTTACGTGTTTATAGACTGGTTTAAAAAGACAAGGAAGATTTACGGAAGCAGTACAGCCATCATGGTCACTTAATGATCTATCAACAGAAATTACAGAAGAGTCAATACAAGAAATAGAGTCAGATGATAGTATAGGATCTAGTAAGCTAGATCTAGTACGTCCAGTACGAGTAGAATCTTTTATAACATTAGTTAGTGATAAGGAGTTAATGATGTCAAAAAGAACGTGATTATTTGAAGCAGTGAAGAAGTCAACATTTAAGTCCCCTGTTACTATAACATTTGGAGATATATCAAGAGCATTATTTATAGATGACCTTAAATTTTCCCAAAACGGTAGGATAGAGCTTTCTGGTCTATAAGCTGTTCCAATAATGTAAGTCGAGTGGGGTAGGCTAATTTTTGTCCATA